AAAAATGACAAACATATGTATATAGGTTATGATATAAATTAAACTTTGATAAAAATCACAAGCAAAAAGCAACCCCGACTAGACTTGTTTCCATGTTCAAAGACGTCTAGTTATTTACATCTGCCACGCTAGTGTTTACCATAGATGCGATTGTCACCACCAGTCCAGGTTGTTTCCACTACAACCTTGGTAGATGCAATGTCAAACACTGTGAGAGGACCCAGTCCTGTATGTTATGGCCCCAGGACAGCTGCTTTACTCTGCAATGTGCATGGGAAGCTACCCACTAGAAATATAATCAAACAAAAGTTTAAGAGGAGGATACAGACATGATTTATTGATAAGCCACTTCAAATAATAAACTTGCTACCCTTGATTTAAATGACTGAGATCAGCAAAAGTGAAGTTTTAGCTGATCGCAGGTGTTCAGGAAGTTTTTTCATGCTCAGTAGAGCACGCGCTCAATGTTCTCGCAAAAAGTGAGAACATTGCAGTACTGGACATGCCAACTGGACACGATTACACAATGTAACGCAGTAGCAAAGCACATGACAATAATTGTTGGACAGGTATCGAGGCAGGTGAGATCTAATGTCAGTAATCCAAGTGTTTAAATACAGTCATAGTAATGTCATAGCCAAAAGTAGTTGGATTACCATGGGAAAACTTTTCCAAGAGGTAATGAGGCTCTCGGGGACTGAGGTGAACACCCCAAGTAGTCCACACACCACATGCATGTGACTATTTATTCACCAGAGTTCAGTCCCCAGAGTAGTGGGAAATAACCGTGCCACCCCCCACGCCTACCTAATTTCTTTTGGAAAGCTTGCCGGGTGAAAAGGTTTTAAAATATGGAGGACATTTAAAACAAGACAGTTTGGCCACTTAAAAAATAAAAAGGTGTTTCCAGAAAGTGTACCAGACAGCGTACAATATTTAGCAATAGCAATAGTTATAATATTTCATATGTATTATTAAACGCATATTGCACAAAGTCTAGGTCCTTAAGTATTTGGATAAGAGGAATTTTTTTTTGTAATTTTGTCCCTGTATACCACCAAACTGAATGTTAACTCAATGAATCAAGATGCAATTTAAGTCCAGACTTGCATCTTTAATTTAAGGAATTTAACAAAAGCATTGCATGAAGTGTTTAGGAATTATGGCCCTTTTTATACTCAGTGTAAGGAAGAGGGCTTCCCTACAAGTATCATTTGTATTGTGGTAACTTGTCCAGCACTTTCGGAGCACCTCTGCCCTTTATTAAAAGCACTTTAAAACTAGAAATTTATTTAGCACTACACTCAGTACCCCATTTTAAATCAGACATCTGACTGACAAGCAGTTTCATGGCCAGAAGAAAGCTGTTACCGTGTTATTCCATTATATATAAAGCTTTTAAATGACCTCGGATTTAATGGGCAGACAGTGGCAGTGAGTTGACGCACACAAACACACACAGTCAAAACACACAGAGTGCTTTAAAGGACAGTGAAGAAGCTCTGCTCCCACGCCTGGAAAACACATCAAGACACGATAAGCCCACATGTCCAGTTCTTCATTTCAGTTTACCACAAAACCTACTGTAAAGTAAACACGAAATACCGAACTGATGATCTGATGTGACACCACTGGTTTTGATCTAATTATCACCCACCTCGACTGACTCTAAATGTAAACCAGTAACATTAGACTGACGTACAACCCCCATGAGGAATTTCTCTTGCAGTCTCTCACACATCCCTTCCACTTGATGATATTTATGTTTCATTTTTATTCCTTAATTTGAATTCTCAAGTATTCTGACTAATCTACTTTTACAGTGCAACATGACTAATCCTATGAACTTAAAGCAACTCAGATTCACATATCTGAGAAAACTAGTGGCTTTAAATTTAGGTATTTAACAACAATATGCTTCTTACACAGGGCCAGCAAGCTTTTGTTGCACATTCATTCATACATGCGGCCTATTTAAAGATCAATGGGGATTGCCAAGAACTCAACAGTTCCTACTGAAACAGTGAGCAGTGAAAGTACCTACAGCTGGAGATACAGTCATCAATTTTCGATGGTAACACAAGGGATGCCGACAACCAAATGGTCAGAGAAACTAGGGGAAGTTCTGCACACTCAATCCCCAGAATAAACGGGGGGAAAAACCGTGCCACCCCCCATGCCTAACTAATTTCTAGTGGAAAGCCTGCCTGGTCAAAAGGGCTGAAAACATGCAGGACATTTAAAAGAAAACAAGTCGACTCCATTCATTTATCACTGAACTTAATC